TCGATTAGAACCTGCTGCGGCAAGTTACAGACTGCAATCAAAGGTCAGTTATACCTTAACGCGTAATGAGTCGTGAGTGGATAATGCTCAAAGATCATTGGTGTGCTGATTATGAGTTGGGTGTTAATGAGTTCATGGAAGTTGCTTCTAAGCATGTTGATGCAATTGGTAGGGTTAGATGTCCGTGCAAGAACTGCAATAATCTCTACTTTAAGACATTAGTCCAGGTGCGGGGAGACATATTTAAGCATGGTATGGTCGAGACATATAAAACGTGGATCCATCATGGTGAGTCTTATGGTGTTAGTAGTAACGGTGAAAACCCACCGACTGAGTCTGACGATGTTCATAATGAAGAGAGTGGGTTACAGACCGACATGTCTGAAATGTTGGGTGATTTTGGTAGGGCGAATGAGTGTCTAACAACCGCTGAACCTTCCCACGGTCCTAATAATAATGGTGCATTGGCAAGGCTCCTCAAAGATGCCAATTGGCCTCTTTACCCTGATTGTAAAAAATTTTCAAAACTGTCCTATGTTATGAAAATGATGAACATCAAGATACAGACAAACAGTAGTGATAAAGCATTCAACCAATATCTTGAATTAATCAAGGAAGGTTTACCGAATGGGGAAACACTTCCCACTTCGTTCTATGAGGTGAAGAAGTATATGTGTGATCTTGGATTTGGTTACACCATCATCGATGCATGTCCCAATAACTGTGTTCTGTATAGGGGGCAGCTTGAAGCTGCTCGAGAATGTCCAAAATGTAAAGAACCTAGGTTTAAATCTGGTAAACAGAAAGATGTTGCCTTAAAGAGAGCTAGATATTTCCCCATTAAGGATAGGTTGCAGCGGTTGTTCACTACCAAAGATCTAGCAAAAGATATGCGGTGGCACAAGGATAAACGCGTTGATGATGATATGCTTAGGCATCCAGCTGATGGTAAAACGTGGAAGGATTTTGATCGGGATCACCCTTGGTTTGCTGCGGATCCCAGGAATGTCAGACTAGCGCTGCTTAGTGATGGGTTTAACCCATTCGGCAACATGAGCAACATCTACAGTATGTGGCCTGTTGTCTTAACCCCGTACAACTTACCTCCTTGGTTATGTATGACCGACCCTTTTTTTCCCCTTAGTGTCCTAATTCCTGGTCCCGAATACCCCGGGAATAACATTCATGTCTATCTAGAACCCGTTATAGAACAGTTGAATGAGTTGTGGCATGATGGGGTTCTTACATATGATGCTCATGCAAATGAATCTTTTCAATTGCGTGCTGCATTGCTGTGGACCATCAATGATTTCCCTGCATATGCCATGCTTTCTGGGTGGAGCACTAGGGGTAAACTGGCCTGCCCAGTGTGCAACATTGAGACTTGTTCTCAACGTTTGGAATATGGAAGCAAGGAGTGCTACATGGGGCATCGAAGGTGGTTGGACAAAGATCATCGTTGGAGGAGGAGTAAGAAGTTCAATGGGAAGCCAGAACACAGAAACAAACCTAAGCAATTATCAGGGGAAGAGATACTGCAACAGGTTGAAGCTGCGTTCAGTGGGGATGTTGCTGTTCATGATGGTGGGAAACGGAAGAGGAGTGCTGCGGAGGACAAGTTCAATTGGAAAACAAGATCTTCCTTTTGGACTTTGCCATACTGGAAGTCTATTGACTTGCGACATAACATAGATGTCATGCATGTGGAGAAGAACATTAGTGACAATGTTATAGGGACGATGATGAGCATTGATGGGAAAACAAAGGATACGCCAAATGCTCGCATGGATTTAAAACAGATGGGCATTAGGAAGGAATTACATTTAATTCCTGTTGGTGATAGGTTTAAGATGCCACAAGCCTTATACACACTAACAGCGCTGCAACGTAGGGAATTCTGTGACTGGTTGAAATCTGTAAAATTTCCCGATGCTTATCCATCAAACATATCCCGGTGTGTGACTACTGATGGTAAGTCGGTGACAGGGTTTAAAAGCCACGATCACCACGTATTTATACAACGATTGCTGCCTACTGTTGCTAATGGTTTCTTCACAAAAGAAGTTTACACTATTTTGGCTGAGTTGAGTGGTTTTTTCAGAGAGTTGTGTTCCAAAACAATATCCAAAGCCACTGTCAAAAATTTGGACCACAACATACCTCTAATTTTGTGTAAGCTTGAGATGTTATACCCTCCATCTTTTTTCGTGGTTATGATGCACCTTCCCGTTCATCTACCCCATGAGGTAGAACTTGGTGGACCGGTACAGTATAGGTGGATGTATCCCATGGAAAGGTAGCCTTTTTTCTTTACTTTTTCGTTCACACCATACTCTAATTTGTTAACCCACAATGTCCTTAACCTTATTTTATGGGCTGTTGTTTTTGTGTACTTAGGTTTCTTGGTACCCTTAAAAGTTTTGTTCGAAATAGGGCTAACCCTGAGGGGTCCATTGCTGAAAGATATATTGCAAAAGAGTGCTCCGATTTTTGTTCTAGATACTTGGAAGGGTTTGAAACAAGGTCTTCTCGTCCTAACCGTAATGATGACGGGTTTGAAGGTGTTGAGTCTGAGGGCTTTCGTGTTTTTACCCAACAAGGTAGAACACTAGGAGCTACTCGTTATGACCCGATTTCAGTAGAAGAATTTGAGCAAATTCAATGGTATATACTTAATAATTGCGATGAAATTGAAGACATTATCAAGTAAGTACAGTATAACTTTGACTAGTAAATGCAACGTTTTCTTTTACACATCTTTACTCCCCCACAACCTAATTCTTATCACTGCACAGCATGCATAAAGATGAGAAGGTTAAAGAGAATCCTAACATTTCCTATCAATCCCTTAAAGCTAACTTTCCGTCTTGGTTGAAGCAACACGTAAGTTATGGTGGATGAGTGAGTTAACTTTTTTGTTTCATTATAATGACTGATTTCCTTGCTAATCCCTTAGAGCTAACTTTTTTTCTTCTGTTCACTACTTCACTGACTGGCTAGGTTACAGAATTGTGTTTGGCTGGTACCCTTAAAGCGCGAGACCATTTACATGTATTAGGGTTAGGGGCAGACACACGCGTCACTAGGTACAACGGCATCCTCTTTAATGGTGTTCGTTACCAAGTGTTTGACCCAAAACAAACCCATAGGACTCAGAACAGCGGTTTATTTGTGGAAGGGGCTCATAATGGAGAGAATATTGACTTCTACGGGGTGCTAGTCGATATATATCAACTTACCTACTGCTATGGTAATCGCGTTTTTGTCTTCAAATGCGATTGGTGGAATGTAGGAGATGGCAGACATGGGATACGGGAAGATGGGTTCATTACTAGTGTTAATATGGGTAGAAAATGGTATCAAAATGAGCCATATATATTGGCTGGTCAAGCGAATCAGGTATTTTATATACCCGATATAAAGAATGGTGGTGCTTGGCATATTGTCATCAAGGTTACTCCCCGACACGTGTATGATGTTCCTGAGAAGGAGGAAGGGAAAATAAATGATCCTGTGTATGCAAGTGAGGCATTTCAGCAAGAAGAGAGTGGTGTTGGCAATGTGATTCAAGTGCAGGACACGGAGTTGGAAGACCTGAATCGTGCAAACGAGGCTCCCACAATGGTCAGTGAGAGCGTTATTAAAAAAAGGGTTGTTTTACTCGACACAGAGGATACAATGGAGGTCGAAGAGGACGACACATTAGCTGATTTCGATGATGTTTTGGAGGGAGCAGCAACTGCTAACCCTTTGGAGGAAATCGACAGTGACGATGAATATGACAAGTAGCGAGTGCAAGAAAAAATACTCATTCCCCCCTTAAACCAAGTACAGAAGGATTTGAGTTTGGATTTAATTATATTGTTTTACAAAGTATATGAAATTTGGGTTAATAAACTCTGCATTTAATTACTCTACATCTTTGTTGAGTTTATACGTTTATAAGTGTTTGTGAATTTGCTGATGGTTTAACTCTGTTTGGACTGTGCATTTAATTACTCTACATCTTTGTTGAGTTTATACATTTATAAGTGGTTGTGAATTTGCTGATGGTTTAACTCTGTTTGGACTGTGAGCAGAAATGCCACCGAGGCCTGAAAAGAAAGCAAGGACTGGGAAGCAGCCGATGATGGTCTATGAACGAGTGACCAGATCCCATCCAGCGAGGAGTGTAGAGAATGCAGGGAGCTCGTGCATGGGTCCACTGAGGTCTCCGATAAAAAAATGCAGGTCTCCGAGGGGTAAAGGGAGGTCTAAGAGGGGTGAAGGGGTGTCTCTGAGGGATGGAGGGAGGTCTCCGAGGGCTGAAGGGAGGTCTCCGAGGGCTGAAGGGGGGTCTCCGAGAGCTGAAACGGTCTCTCCGAGGGGTGAAGAGCGGGTGTCTCCGAGGGTTCCAAGGAGGACTACTGAACCTATTGAGGAGATTGACGAGAATGCAGATAATACTGCCACATCCATGCCTGAACAACCGGAGAAGACAGGTGCGTGTTATCCTAACTTTTCTTTTGTCACTTGAGAAACATGGATTATCACATTTCTATTACAGTTTTGGATGATTATAATTTGACCTACATCCATAGGTGGCCGAAAGAGGGGGCTGACCAAAGGTGTTCAAGTGATGGCACGAACCACCGGGGGGAGTAGGATCGATGGAGTATTCCTGCAGGAGAACAGCCACGCAATTGTGGGCCCTAACCAGAAGTTGCTGAACACAGAAGTTGGTGTCGTTGCTCGTATGATGGCTCCCATAAGGAAGTACTATTGGACTGAGTTGACTGATGAAGACAAACACCCTATGTTTGTGAAACTAGAGGTACGGTAATCTGTCTTTGTTAATTTAAAATTATCAATTGCATAGTCTGAATGCATGGAATTTGATGAAATTGCAGAGCGAGTTTGCATTTGCCTCAGCTACTGAAGAGGTGAGGAAGGCTTTAGATAAGAAACTCCACAAACGCTTCTTGAACTACAAGTACACCTGTCATAAACACTACAAGGAACAGGAAGACCCCACCAAAGCTCGTCTGAACCCTCCAGAAGGAGTGAAACAGGAAGACTGGGAGGCCCTCTGTGAGCACTTTGAGAGTGATCGATTCAAGGTAAAACTTGCCGTGTTTGGATATTTGATGACACTTGTACAAGATGAGAGCTTAGCACACATTTCTGTTTGCAGGGGCGGAGCACAAATAACATACAAAACAAGGCTAAGCAGCAGTATGCTCACACTACTGGGGCAAAATCCCACGACCAGAGAGTGTATGAAATGGTAAAGCATTAAGTTTTATTTACATCTTTGTACAACAACAAATCTGAATTTGACCAGATGACCATAAACTAGGGGTAAACAGGCCACTTACCACACCTTTACCATGTTTGAACATTTGAACTATCATGTATAGGAGCAAAAGAAGCTGGCTGCACAAGCAGCTCAAACGGAGCAGGTAGATGACCAGGATGCTGAGGATGATGATGCGGTGCCCGTTGACATTGAGCTGTATGCCAACACGCACAAGAAGGCAAGTGATGGTACTTGGGTGAGCGAGGAACCGAAAGCGAATTATGTAAGCCCTTCTGCTCCTCTTATATTGTGTACCTAGTCCACGCACATGAATGGATATTCGATGTATAGTTATTGTAATAGGTTGATTGAATTAAGAGGGAACAATTATTACTGTGGTCTGGTTTATTATGCGCCTCCTGTTACTGTGGTGTGACTTTTATTTTGCTTTGCATCTTGTTGTGGCCTGTATATTTGGGTGGTGACTTTTATTTTGGTGCAATATAGGAGGCGATGCTGGCCCTCCATGCCCAAGCAAAGGCAGATGGGAATCCACTGCTGGGTCGTGACATCGTTCAGAAAGTCTTGCAGAGGAAGCTCAAGTATGGACCTAAAGAAGCAGTGAGGAAGTCGGCAAGAGAAGTTCAGCTGGAAGCAGATCTGGCAGCAGCAAAAGCAGAGGCGGAAAGTAAGACCAAGGAGTTGGAGGCCAAGCTGGTAGAGCAGGATGAGAAGATTAAAGCTCGGGATGAGGAGATTGAAAAACATAAAGTAGAGCTTGATCTGCAACATGAACGTTTGGCTAACCAAGGGAAAAAGATGGAACAAATGCGCTTGGCACAAGAGAAGATGCAAAAGAGTATGTAATCCGTCCTCGCCAAACTCAGCAGGAAATGATTGCACCAGGTACATAGCTATTATTGAATGCATGAATTTCATATACAGAACTTAGTCAATCTGTTAGGAACAATTATGCACGAATGTGAAGTCTCAATCTAGCTTCTTCTCAAATTGCAATTGCAGGTGTGGACGCATCCCTGCACGACCGTGTGTTCATATGACTTGAGGAGGTTGCGTCTTAGCGAATGTTTTCCTGAACGGAATTATTTATAAGTAGTTGTCGGCTGCAAACCCATTTTGGACAATATGGTTGTGTCGAACAGAATGTAGGAGTGTGTGATGTGATGCAGGAATATTATCTATTTTGCGTCTTTGTAAGCTGGGAGCTAGGACCCTGAATATTCAGCGTTTTCTAAATGAATGTGACTGTCGGCTTGTTTTATGACATATTTTATGTGTATTTCGCTTGTCACATTTACTGCTTACAGGAACGAACAAATTATGACAATGTTCCATTATCAGTTTATGTTTTAAATATGACAAACAATTCAGTATCCTGACATATATATTGTCAGATAAATGGTATTACGACAAAGCATATCCATATTATGACAAACTGGACCGTCACTGAATACATAAAATATGACAAAATTATTTTATCATATGTGATTTCTAAGGGCACGTGCCCTACAGCTTAAAGTGACGAATGTGAATGACAAACAGTTCCCTCATAATATCTCGTTTAGTCAGTTGGTTGTATTAAAGTGTGACAAAATAAACAGTCTAATGTGACAAGATCTTTCGTCATGGTAGGACAACATATTATGACAACGATATATTGTCAAGTTGGCCGAACAATATTATGACAACCGAAAAATTAAACTTTGTCACATTAGACCTAATACGACGGAGCAAAGCTGATAAAGCCTTTTTGTCATAACACTTGTCACATTAGACAAAAAGTGACAAAATGGCACACTAAAATGACAAATTGGGTGCGTCACAAAATACCTAATTTCTTGTAGTGAGTAATAGTCTACTCTCTACTGTATTAGGAAAATGTTTCAGCTGTAAAATTTACATCATGAAAAAGTTTAGTTCATGCGATCATAATGATCTAGGTTTTACAGAAAATCATGGAGGCATATGAGGAAGACAGTAAGCAAATAACAACCACAGATATTACGTACTTTGACAAATTTAATGAGGGGATAGTAGAATATTAACAAAAGACTACGCTATGAAAATGTTTCAATTTCAAAATTCACATTACGCAAAAAAAAGTGTAGTTCATGTGATCATAATAAAATAAAATACCCGCCTAGTATGCCTTTGTATCAGGTTGAGTGTCCATGGAAAGCTATCTCTCGAAGATATCGACTAATAGACACTTCAGCACCAACTCAGCATTCAAAGCTATCTCTCGAAGACAAACGACGCATCCACCACCATTCTGGCAAAGGAACTGGAAAATTCATTGTTCAGAACGTGTCAGATTTTTCATTTGGTTGGCGGTGAAGGAGAAACTGTCTACCAAGTACCAACAGCATACGCAAGTATAGACAACTTACCATGGATGACAAATGGCCTCTATGCAACGAAGGAATAGAGACGAATATGCATTGCCTAGAGACTGCCCAACAACACATAAAATCTGGAAAAAGGTGATTCCTGTCCAAAATCAGCCCCCCCCCCCGATAGAACTCAAGTAGAGCTCTACCAGCGTTTTAGGGATTAGGATCAACTAGGGATTGATCCGGGTGAAGGAAAAGGACAAGGAATGGGGATTGGAGATTTTTGGAATAGTAAGAGGGAAGGGGAAAGGCGGCTGGTCGCCTGCCAAGAAGAAGAAGGAAGGGGTTGGGGGAAGTGCTGCGCGCAGCAGGGAAGGGAGAAGGGAAAGTGGGGTCGGCAGAGGGGAAAGGAGGAAGAATGAAATTAAGAATTGTAGGTTTATGATTAATTCTTTTCTTAACCCTAACTCTAGCTTACAATAGTTTATATAGAAATGACTAATTTCCTACTACTACCCCATCTATCAATTATTCCCGAATAGTCCTCATAATCCGAATAATAATAAACCGACAATTAATCAAGTACCCAAAATACAAGTTTCTATCATCCCCGCTTCCTTCGAAAATCAACCTTGTCCCCAAGGTTGATCCTCCAGCTCACTAGGTCTCCTCTTCATCATTTCCGGCATCCTCAGCATAGTCTTCTGCGTCATCCTCCCATCGTCCCACTAGCATCATCAAATCTTCCTTGGGGCACTGATGCCCAATGGTGAATCGGCCATCACACTTGAAGCACTTGCCTTCACGCCTCTTCTGCTCAATCTCGGCTGGTGACAGTCGCGCGAAGCCCTTAGGTATGGCCCGCGGCCCCATCCTGGCTACCGGAGCGGGGCCTCCACTGCCAGTGTTAGCCCCGGTCGGCCCTACCCCCGCCGCTCCTCCCGCGCCTCCACTACTCCCACTGCTCCCTCCCCCTCCGCTTGACTTCGGGAAACGGCCAATGGCGCTCCTCCAACTGGCGAGCTCTTCCTCCTTGTGACCTGCAAGTCGGAAAGCCGTCTTCAGGGAATCAGGCTCGAACACCCGGACTGCCGCCGCTATCTCGGGCTTAAGACCCGCCATGCACAACCCCACCAAGGTGTCCTCTGAGACTCCCTTACACTGGTTCCCCAACTTGAAAAACTCTGCACGGTATTCAGCCACCGTGCCGGTCTGCTTCAATTTTGCCAACTGCTCGGGCGCCCACCCATCTGACTTCCCAAACTGATAACGGAGCTCTTCCTGAAACATAGGCCAGGTGATCGAGGTGGCTGCAGCGGCGTAGGACCGTTCCATCCACTCCCACCACTGGAGCGCATCTCCCTCCAGATAAAACGACGCCAGATAGGCCTTCCTCTCCTCCGGGACCGGATGATTTCTAAACCATCTCTCTACTGCATACAACCAAAGACCTGCATCCTCTTGCCCATTGAATTTGGGAAACTCAATGGTCGGAGGCTTAGCTCGAAAAACCACTCCATCCATTCCCTCATAATTCATGTAGTGGGACCCATACCTGTCATTCCCCGGAGTTCTCCAAGGCTGCCCAAAAGAAGAGCCCGGCATCCGGTTCGGATTCTCAGGGCCATAGTCACCCGGATAGTTGCCCTGCAGGTTTGGGTACCCTCCTGGCGCGTGAGGCGCCCCGTACGGAATCTCCCAGCTGGTTGGTTCCCGGTAGTCCACCCTCCTGTACTGCTGGGCCATCGGACTCGGGCGATGCCCGGTTCGACCCACTTCCGGACGACCCATCCCGGTCCGGCCCGGCCCGGTTCGGCTCACCTTGGTTCGGTCAGCGTCGGTCCGACCGATCCTGGCTCGACCAGACTCGGTCGACCCCCTTCGGTCCGCCCCATGGGGGCCGCCCCTGGTCGCCCAACCGGTTCTGTGGGCCTCCTCGGCCCATTCGGCCCCCTCTGATCCACCTCCGGTTCGGCCCACTTGGCCTGTCGGTCTGTCAGGCTAAGTTCGTCATACTCGGGCCCATCCTCTAGATCCAACCACCCCAATCCGTTATGGATCTTCGTGTATTGGCCCATCAGCTCCGGCCCACTGTTCGTAGGAGGCCCGTCTACGTCATAACCGGCCATCTTGGCCTTTCCTTTCCGGGCCGCAATCTCTTGGGCCGTAGGCGTCGGTAGCAGACCCGGGCCCACACCTAGCCCTACCTGCATTGGCCCTGTCCCCGCTCCGCCTCCGCCGGTCCCCGGCCCGCCCTCGGCCGTCGCCCGCCCGACCGGCGCCTTCTCCGCTGTCTCGAGCCCCGGCGCCGCCACTCCTCCTTCGGCGGCCGTGCCGCCTCCACCTGCCGGGGCTTCCGCCGCCGAGCCCTCGCCGCAGGATCCGCCCGCCCCGACACCCGCCAGCGAGCCCGCGCCCCCGGTGGTGCCGCCGCCGCCTCCTCCTGCTCGCCCCAAGGCCTCAGCCACCATCGCCTTCAGCTCACCAATGGCGAGCCACATCCTCTGCGACTCCGCCTCCCGGGCTCGCGCTTCTGCCTCCCGAGCTCGTTCGCCCTTCAGTCGGGATCGACGCTCCTGCTCCATGGCCTCCGCCATTTTGGTCATCTCAGTGCGGAGCTCTTCTCCTAGCGTCTCATCCACCATCTCTCCATCCCGCAGAACCGGGACCTCACTACCGCCCTCACCAGCCGTCGGCAGTCCCGACGTGGCCCCGATCGCGGCTTTTTCCTGTGCTGCCACCTTGGCGGCCTTCTCAGCTGCTTGCATTGATTTCGTCGACACCATCGCGCTCGTCGTTATTCGTTTGCTCCGGAACCCAAGAACGGGGCTCTGATACCAAATGATAGAACTCAAGTAGA